ACTTTGTCTAGAGGAAGATATAATCTTTACTATCCCGGTCAGGAAACAAATCTTTCATTTGCCCTGGAGGGAGATTCTATTTCTCTCTTTTCAGGCTATTTGAAAAGATATTCTGGAATAAAAGCTGTCAAAAGACGTATAAAAATGCTGTGGAGAATTAACCCCTAAACAGTGTGTTTAACTGGAAATGGTCATTTTGAAGCCATTATTTAGGGGAATACAGAGCAATATGCGATAAAACTAAAGTTTAAAGAAGTCTTCATTTTACATAATAATGAAAAATGAGTAAGAAGGGTTGGTACTATTGTAAAAAGAAGCAGAGCCTGTATCTCGTAAGTTATGTTATAAACATAATGCATTATTCTGGATTATGGAAGAGGTATTATCTAATCTAGTTATATTGATAAGGGAATTAGTAATGAAAATCTTTCCTGATAGATGATCCTAAATGAATTTATATTTTATTATATATGATAAAATACATATATTTGTAAACATAGTCTATGTGTACATGCAGATGTTCTAGCATATCTATTTGAATAATTTATACTTCCACAATAAAATCATAATTCCCAAATCAATTTGAATCTCAAATTAGAATGGGTCTTAGAGGTTATTTATTAAAATCTATCCCTGAGTTCAAGAATGGTTTTCCAAAATAATAGATCAGGTCAAGTTTATAAACTCTGCAGCCTCACTTCTAGAATTCACCCTATAGTGGGGTCAGTGACTCCACTCAGGTGTATGCAAAGCTGCACTTGAACCGGATATTGACTGATATCTTTCCTAAATCATACATGACCCACTGATGGATTTATTGCCAACATCAACATCTATTCTAGGATTTTATGTGTGTGCTTTTTGCTTTAGGGTTGGTTTTATTTTATATCACCATTCTTTCTGTGTTTATCTTTTCTTGTGCTGCAACATCAAAAACAAAACTGTGTTTTCACTTAAAGTTTATATGCGAAAATTGTGTTTTCCTTTAAAAGTTTATACACTGCACTATGAAAATTAAAGAACACCTCATGCTGAATATTGTTAGTAAAATACTGCTTGGGGCTCATTGCACCAATGAATAAGAACATAAAAGTAATATTTTATACCTATAATTCAAACCATAGAGTGCTTGTTTCTATGATAATAAATTAAATCAGATAGCATTTATCACTATAAAATGCTATTATCACCACTTTGATAAATTCCCAATATTACTCAGGTATCAGGAGCTGGATTTGGCTACATAATGTGTAAGTTAAGTGACACGCCTCTTTCACTTGTGGGATATACATGCCTTACCTGATATTTTACGAGGCATGACTTTAAGAAAAAGAAAAAGCGTAAGTCTTATTTATTTTTCCTTCTTTTTTTTTTTTATTGAGATGGAGTCTCACTCTGTCACCCAGGCTGGAGTGTAGTGGCAGGATCTTGGCTCACTGCAAACTTTGTCCCCTGGGTTCAAGCAATTCTCCTGCCTCAGCCTCTGGAGCAGCTGGGACTACAGGTGCACACCACCGTGCCTTGCTAGTTTTGTATTTTTTATAGAGACAGGATTTCACCATGTTGGTCAGGCTGGTCTCAAACTCCTGACCTCAGGTGATCCACCTGCCTTGGCCTCCCAAAGTGCTGGGATTACAGGTATGAGCCACTACACCTGTCCTAAAAAAGCTGAATCTTGAAGATATTTAGGATTCAAACAAACGTGAGATTTTGGAAACTAAAATGCCTGTAGGAATCATTCATGTAAAAGAAAAGTCTGAAACAAATCAAAATATCTGTTCCATTTCAACTCCAGAGGAAAGTTGCCACACAGGAATGCTTGCCTAGTGTTGCATTTCATCATATTTTTCTAGGGAAATCGGAAATAGAGATTTTTATGCAAGATTTTTAAATTTTTAAATGTTGGCTCCTAACCTAAAAATAATTACAATTTGCCACTAAATAAAAAAATACCACCAATCAGCAACGTCTAATATTTTGTTTGATAATCAGAATGTCTTTCCAGGCTGACAGAGCATAAACTGGGATGGTGATGGATAGAGCAAGGGGAGGCAGAAGATAATAGAGACTTTAAGGGAACAAACAAACTGCTGTAGACGGAAGAGTCTGTCTTGCTGTCATAGGCCTACCAATACAGTCTAACAACAGTAAACATTGACACTGGACTGGAAAAGGCTGTACCTGAATCCTTCTCAACCAAGGTCTCTGAGGATTCTTAAGCATCCTGAGGAGAAAGAGGTTGTTTGTAAAAATGTTAATGATGTCTTGAGAGGCCCATGCTACTTGGCTGTGTTATTTTGACTCCTTCATCAAATTCTTAGGTAGCCTGGGGTATTAGTCCATTTTCATACTGCTATAAAGAACTACCGAGATTGGCTAATTTTTAAAGGAAAGAGGTTTAATTGACTCACAGTTCAGCATGGCCAGGGAGGCCTCAGGAAACTTCCAATCATGCTGGAAGGTGAAGGGGAAGCGAAGCACCTTCTTCACAAGGTAGCAGGAAGAAGAAGTGCCGAGCTAAGAGGGAAAAGACCCTATGAAACTATCAGATCTTGTGAGAACTCACTCAGTATCACGAGAACAGCATGGAGGAAACTGCCTCCATGATTCAATTACCTCCACCTGATTTCTCCCTTGGAAAGTGGGGATTATGGGAATTACCATTCAAGATGAGATTTGGGTGGGGACACATAGCCTAACCATATCATCTAACTTCTATGGAGGCAATTAAGTAAAAACTGTAGAGTATTTTGGTGAGAACCAACATCTCTCCAAGATAAATCACCTGACCAGCTGAGCCCATGAAATTGATATGGTCGCATGAGATGGTGCTCCCTTCAAACGCCCAGGGAACTTAAGAAAGGAAGTGGACTGAGCATTTTCATTCTGGTGAGGGAGCGATTGATCCAGCAAATGTGGGGATAAACAATGTTAAGTGGAGACTTAAGCTCTTGAGCCACAAAAGCATTTGGGAACTGACCAGTTGCTGCAGTTACTCATATGGATCACATTCCTTTGTTTCCACCCATAGATTTATTGCAATGTGGGTTTGCACAGATAATAAGAATTTTTTAAAGAAACTCCCAAAATAATAGCATCTCTTTGATAAAGCTGTGGTAAGGATTAAATTAGATATTGTATTTAAAGCACTTGGCACAAAAATTGGAAAACTTGATAATGCTAAGTGAGGGTATAGGGGCATGGATTGCCTGTATAGACATGTAGCCATTCTGGAGAGCGGTCTGGTACTACATTCACAGATGCAATACTTACTTGCCCTGAGACCCAGTAATTCTTATCTCATGTATATATACCAACGATTTTCTTACACAGATCCAAAAAGGGCATGTACAAAAAGGTAACAATTTATTTGATGTCATAGAGACTTGGAAGCAATCTGGGTATCCATCGTTTGGAGAGTTGATAAGAAAATGTGGGGGAACCACACCTTAACATTACAAAACACTCAGAAACAGCAGACTATATGTGTGCATAGGACTATTGAGGGACCTCAAAAACCCAGTTCTTGGTGAAAAAGATAAGAAAGAGATAAGATTTAACTTCAATACTATTTACATAAATTAGAAATATATGCACAAAAAGCAGTAGTATACACTTTATAAGAATATATACAAACAAATGAGGTACCTGGTAACAGGATACAATAGTTGCCTCCTGGGGGGATGGAAATAAAACATGGAGTGGGAATAAGGAAATAAATAATTAACTAAAATAAAAGAGGAACTCTTTAAGAGTGTTGATGAAAAGGAATCATGAATTAAGTAATATAACAAACTCAAACCTCTGCACATAAATTGATAAAGCAAAAGAAGGAAAAAAAAAATAAAGTTCTTAACACAGTGCCTGGCACATAGTACAATTATTCTATAGATTAAGCAAAAAGAGGACCAAAAGGAGTCTGAGAAAAGAAAAGAAAGTGATAAAGAAAAAAAATCTCTTTGAAAAATAAATTAAGTTTTGCAATTAGAAATTTGTGGAACCAGTTAACAGGTATAGTTATACTGATTTCTGCTTGTGGTCTCAGGAAAGTGCTAGATACTATTGCAGGTGAAAAAGAAAAGTTTGATATATTCTCCTTATCAGAGAATAAACCAACAAACTTAAAACATAAGTTTTAAGGAATGTATAAAGGAAGAAAACAATAAACTTAAAATGCAATGAAAACTTTTGGAAATCCAGTTGGAAATTGGTAGAGTTAAACAATGTTTTTAAAAAATAATCACTCTGGGAGGCTGAGGCGGGCAGATCACGAGGCCAGGAGATCAAGACCATCCTAGCTAACACTGTGAAACCCCATCTCTACTAAAAATACAAAAAATTAGCCAGGTGTGGTGGCAGGCGCCTGTAGTCCCAGCTACTCAGTAGGCTGAGGCAGGAGAATTGCTTGAACCCAGGAGGTGGAGGTTGCAATGAGCCAAGATCACGTCACTGCACTCCAGCCTGGGTGACACAGCCAGACTCCATTTCAATAAATAAATAAATAAATAAATAATAAATAAATAATCAAAGAGACAATATGGTGTATTACTGGGTGATACATTATAAATCAGCATTAAAGAGTCATTCATCCTTTAATCATTGTATGCAGCAAACGTTACGGAGAGCCCACCACACAACAGGTTCTATGTTAAGTAGTAAAAACACAGGAAACTGCAGGATGTGCCTGAGTTGGAGGAGCAGTTAGGTTTAATATGGGAAAGGGCTGGTTAAGGCATGGCTGTCCTCTGAAAGGCCAAGACTTGAGGTGAACTTTCAAATATATTTTTTTTTAAAAAAAGGATTTATCATAAAGTAAAAGCCCAGAGATAAGTTTCTTAATTATGCAGATAATTATGTGAATAACACAAAGCCCCATTGTATCTTATCAGAAAATAGAAAAAAATGGAAATATCTTGAACTATAGAAGAAAGTGAAATGGTTTTCAGTGTGGTTTATTTTTATATGTAGTTATCATAATAGTACATTATCTTTTATTTTAGATACACTGGCCTAGTACAGCTCTAAAAATGGAAGAATGCATAATGAAGGGAAAAGATGCGGTAAGTATTATTCATTGTAAATTAAACAAATCATCAATTATATCCCTAGTTAACCACAAAGAACTGAATCACTGAATTTTTATTTGCTCTTATAAAAGCATGTGTGCAATTTGGTTCATGAAGAAAAAAATGTATAGGCATATAAGACATAATTATGTAAAATTAATTTCAATGTAGAGTTAAAGGAAGCAGAGATGCCATTGAGATCTTGGTTTTTATTTTGTTTTTTAATATCTTAATCAACTTGGGTTTATAAATTCCTTATACTAATGCTTATTTCCCATGTATTTGGCAGAAAAATAATTGCAGGTAATTTTTTTTTTTTTTGTAGGAACAGTTAAGCACATTCTTTGTGAGATTTCACTTTACATTGTTTAGTAAATTAGAAAAGAATGAAGAAAAAAAAGTCAACAAAACGTTTGAAAGAGGCAATAAACACATTTTACCTATTCCTAAATATTTTTAGGGTCTCTTCTACTTTAAGAAGCAATATTCTCTTTCTCTATAGTTTCCCCGCTGAGTGTGAGTGGCAAAAGGCTGTGCGTCAGCCCGCCGACACAGTCCCTAACACACTAAGACGTCAGTGATAGGACTTTCACATACAAGCAGTGTCTAGCTGATTTCGTGACACAAATGCACCCTGGAGGAAGGCCTGGACATCTGCCTCTGAAAGTGAACTTATCCTTTTTTTCAGTAAGGAAAAAAAAAAAAAAAAAACTATATAAATGACTAACACACATTATACTAACTCCTCATTCTCTGTAGCAGCTGGGTCACAGCCAAGGAGTGAGTCAGCACATTCCTGTTGCCTTAACCCACCGCATGATGCTGACTAATTGAACATATTCTTAGGCCATGTCAATCTAAGCTCAGCTGAGCCAAAATGTAGTCTAATAGGCTCCCTGTCAGATGTGACGGTGTGTCAAGAGAGGAAATGCAGGTGCTTATGGAAACAAACAACAGATATTTTCATCATTCCTGAATGATCAGATTCTACCAAATATATGGGTCACCTGAAGAATAAAATATCATGTGATTGCAAATTTGAAGAAATAAATATACCTGTGTGCTCTAGATAATCAATTCAATAGTGCACTCCTCGTTCTTGCCAAGTGATTCCGCTGGCCTTTTCTCCTAACACTGTTACAGGATAAACTTTAAAGTGCTGAAATTGCAACAGGTCCTTATAAAACATGACATTAATTGATCATTATGTGTATTGATTTCAAGTAATACTGGGCACTAAAAGAGTTTAGTATTCATTTCATAATTTATTTTTAATGAAATAGCAACACCTAATTTGTCAAAAGAATGCTTACTAAAATTAATTTAGCCAAGTTGATTTTGAAGCAATTGTAAATGTTTCTTTAATTCAGTATACTGATCATTAAATTCACTTACTGATGGATATATTAAAATGTTATTAACATGTGTTATGTATTAGGTGCTGTGCTCAATTAACTGGGAAATGCCGAGATGTGTAAAATAGATTCTGTCCTCAAGAAGCTCACAGTTGAATACCAATGTTGACAAACTAGAGCGTCTAGGCCAAAGGTGGCTTGTTGCCTATTTTTGTAAATAAAGTTTTATCGGAACACAGCCCCACACATTTAGTTTTGTATTGTTTATGGCTGCTTTCATGCTATAGCTGCAAAGATGAATAGTTGCAACAGAGACCAGATAGCTCATCAAACTAAATACATTTACATTCTGGCCCTTTACAGAAAAAGTTTGCTGATTCCCAGTCTACTACTATTTCCTACTGTAATATAGTAATCTTATCATAGTCCTACAACAAAATGTTGGTTTTATTGGTTAGTTTTCCGTATTTACTTAACAATTCTCTCTGAAAGTGCTTTATGTAAATTTGTGAGTGTGAGAATGTAGGACTTACTTTCCAAAACATTAAAATTCTGTTTGTCCTAAATACTGCATATTTTGAGAGGCTAAGGCAGGTAGATCGCTGGAGCCCAGGAGTTTGAGACTAGCCTGGGCAACATGAGGAAACTCCATCTCTACAAAAGATACAAAAAGATTACATGGGCCTGGTGGCACATGCAACTTCCTCCAGTAGTTGCAGCTACTCTGGAGGCTGAGGTGTGAGGATCACTTGAGCCTGGGAAGGCGAGGCTGCAGTGAGCCAAAATTGCACCACTACGTTCCAGCCTGGGCAACAGAGTGAGACCCTGTCTTGGAAAAAAAAAAAAAAAAAAACTGCATATTTCCATATGAATAACTATGTTTTTTCTAATTTTTGGTTTTAATGACTTTATGCTGATTCATTGTTTATACTGTACTTAAAAAACCAACAGTGTTGGGAACAGCTTAATTACTTAGTGGAACATATTACCATGAGAATTTTTACACTTGAAGAAATTTCTGAATAGTGCTTTTTTCATTCCTCAATTGTAAACTAGAATACATGAAAAATGATACACTCTCATTATAAAATGTAATTTACACATCACTGCTAACCAAAATGTGTTTCAGTAACCCCACTTTCTTCTCCAACTTCTTGTCCTCTTTTCTTCTACCCCTCTTGCCTCCTTCGCCCAACAGAGATTTATGGTAAAACATGAGCTTTCTAGGGCTAGGAAAAACAAAAATCAAAAAGGACTAAACATGTTTATTATACTGATAGATTCCTTCCTTTTTTTTCCTGCTTTAGGGTGAATGTGCAAATTATGTTCGGGTTTTGCATCACTATAACAGGACACACCTTCTGACTTGTGGTACTGGAGCTTTTGATCCAGTTTGTGCCTTCATCAGAGTTGGGTATCATTTGGAGGTAAGATGTTTCATTCATTGCTATCAATAAAAATGATGCTTAAAACAACCTTGTTCTCGAAGAAAGACTGCAGCGTTTCTTCCCAAGAAAGATAAAAGCATTTGTGATATACTGAATCAGTTTGCTTGAGACAGATAAATTATCTTTCTGGGCCTTCAAAATTCTTGTCAGGTACAAAATCTGTGAACCAATTAATTGGCTATGTACTCAATTCACTGAACAATTTTATTTGCTTAATTCGCCCACTTAAGAACATCTCTTAACATCAAACTGTGTTCTCTATTGTGTTATATTAATATTTTCATTGATTTAACCACCAAACTGGAATATGTATATAGGTGTGTGTGTATGTGTGTGTATATATATAATTTACATAAATAAAATATAATATTTTACAGGGGGCATGCAAAGACTTTTTGATTCTGTAATTATTTTCTTATGGTCAGATGAGGTAGGGAATGCAGGAGGAGGGAATATTTCAAACTGAGTTAAGGTAAATATTACTTGGTGCCAGTTACAAATCTGTTCCGCTAAGACTTTGCCACTAGGTGATACTGCATAATAAAAGCAAATTCCAACTGAATCCTGCCACACATATAATACTTACTAGCAAGCAGGCTCAAAGATCAGTCATATAACCTATTCCTGTAAGCTGAGTGAATCTCAACTCTCATTAATTTTAGGTACATTTTGAAGCACTGTATATCGCAATTTTACCCTGAAGCATATGAAACAATATACTCATGTAGAATCTGTTATTTTTCATCTACATTGGAAGGCAGAGTCCTACACTAAGACAAGGCACAGATAAAATAGAGTTCTAGGTATTCTGTTGTTAAGCAGCTAGACTCATGATTCTTATATTCCATTTATGAAAGTGCAGCAGTGGCCATAAAATATTAATATTTTAAGCCACCACATACAAACAACACCATTTCACCACTAAAATATTATTTCTGATATTCCTTATACTAGTTAACACTCAAGTGCAAATATAATTCAAAGTATTTGAAGTGCTTAATAGCTGCCCCTAGAGAGTGCCCGTGATTTAACTACTTCAGCTGTTAACTATCTGTATAGGCAGATTCTATCATTAGCATATTTTAAATGTTAACTAGCCACCCCTAGTTGTAGATTAAATTAAGTAACATCTAAAATACATCACGGTGTATTTACTGAATCATTTTAAATAAACAATGCAGATGATATAATAGAAGAATTTTAGGGATATGGAAGGCGAATCATGCCACTGTAAGGTCAGAATATATAGATGTATACAACAAAGTATGCATAAGTATATACGTGTGTATGTGTAGACACAGAATATATACCTCTTTTTGTGCAAATCTGCTAGAAACAAATTCAGTTTCATTTATTTTAAAATGCTTTTGTTTCACCCGTATTTTTAAAGGAATTTTCCTTCTTATAGAATTCTGGGTTAAAAGTTGCTTTGTGGTTTTGTTTTGTTTTCTCCTTTCAGTATCTCAAAACTACTTTGTCTTCTAATTTCTTTCTAATATAAAGTAAAGCTTTATTCCCATTGATGTTTCCCTTTTAAAATTGCTTTTATCTTTTCAGATTTTGTCTTTATCATTGCTTTTCAACAATTTCAATAGTGTGACTTTATGTGTGAAGGAGTGGGAGGGATCGGTATCTGTATTTCTTAGGATACTAAGATTCTTGGATACCTAACGTTGTTCTTTCCATCTAATTTGGTAAATTTTGATCATTATTTCTTCAAACAATATTTCTCCTTCATTTAACCACTCCTTTCCTTCAGGATATATATACACACACACACACACACACACACACATATACATGTGTGTTTATATATATATGAAATATATATATGCATATATATACTTGTATATAAATAACAGAAAAAGAAAAAATATATATATATATATTTGTTAGACTTCTAGGCATTGATCTAAGACACACAGTTCATTTTTATTCAACCTTTTTTTCCTCTACTTTTCAGATTGGAAAAATTCTATTGATTTATATTCAAATTCATGTACTCTTTCTCCTGATATCTCCAATACGCTACTAAGCTCACCCCATTGGATGTACTATACAGAGCGTAGTTTACTTGAAAGGTGTATTAGCCCATGTAAATTTGCAATGGGCAGTAGCCACCTTTTTCAGCTTAGCAGCCACTGCCTTTTATGTACTTGCAAACACAGTTCAGATGTTGGACAGCGATGTTGAAGATAATTTACAAGGATACATAACATAGCTTCTAGATTTCACCACTCACTTTTCTTCTTGAGTTCTAGCCATTCATTTCCACATAAATTAAGGGATTTCCTCAAGTGAAAAATCTCTCTAGTCTTTGTCTATTCTTAATTGATCTCCAGTGCCTTTTAGACGTTTTAAAAAATAAATCTCATATATATATATACACAAATATATAGTTTATCATCATTTTCTTTGAAAGATTTGTCCAATACAAGATGCATTATCAGTAGCAGAACTGGAACTTGGTGTACTTTAACTTCATACACATGATAGTGAATAACTTTATCTCACATAATTATCTAAATATTAAATATGATTGAAATATTTGAGTCATGTTAGAATCTTTAAATATGATTGAATATTATTTCAATCAAATTCCAATAGTTGAATGCTTATATGATTGAAATACTATCCCCCATAATTATCTAAATATCAGATATAATATATTTTGAAAAAATTATATATATACATACATGTCACAAGAGGAACTGGTGACCATCCAATAATAAAAGCAGTATGAGATTTATCCCCAAAACACCATTTAAAGTCTTGATGCAATTTTACATGAGGGAATGAAAAGTTTTACAAATCATTTAGTCAAGGAGAATACTTTGATTAAGTAGCGAAGAGGCAGTGATGTATGGAATCGGTTTGCAGAAATTTATGTTGGTTAGAGAACAGCAGGAGATAAAACTGGGATAAGTTGGTGGAAGATTTTAATACTAGACATTGGCACTCTGTGTTATTGTAAAGACAGCGCGGAGACCATGAAGGAGTTTTGAACAGAGTATTTGATTGACAAGACATTCATAATATTTAAGATTGATTCAAGCAGAGAGAGATGAAAAGCAGAGAGAAATTTAAGGAGGCTATTACATGATCTTTATGAGAGATCGTGAAGGTATTTAACACGGTTGTTGCAATAGTCAAGAAAAGGAAGTGTTGAACTCAAGTGAGAAGCTGCTCAGCAGGAGAGTTTCTGTAACTTAGCATTTTGTCTGATGTCAAAGATGAAAGGGAATTAAAAAACAATTCTAACTTTATTTCTTGCTGATTGGGAAGAAATACAAAGTTCTTACCAGCAAGAGAGAGCTATGGAAGCGGGGTAGGTTTTTGTAAGAATCTAACAGATGTCCAGTATTTCTGTTTTAATTTTTTCATTTTCACTTATGGTTATTTGAAAGATTGAGTCTGGAGCTAGGAGAGGGTGTTCTCAGAATAGATTGAATTATTAAACCCTGAGGGAGTAGTTAATAGTTTCCTCTGAGAGTCTGTCTTCTCTTCCTCTCTCTCTCTCTCTCTCTCTCTCTGTCTCTCTCTCTCTTTCATACTGCTCTCACTTTTCTTTTCTCACTCTCACTTTCCCAAAATAACTTGAAAAGTGCCATTATTTAGGTGCTGGTAGAATGTCTAGGTAGTATCATGAGCACTCAGAGAAAGATTGGATAAAAGGCAAATCAGGTTAGTGCAAAATCAGAATTACATTTGTAAAAGAAGAACAGTTTTAAAATGATAATTAATATTATGAATGGTACAGTTTTAGTAAGGGGATAAGTAATTAGAAAGGGAATTACTGAATAGTGACACAATAAATGCAATAATGTCATTGATTTAATCAAGAAATAGGGTCGTGCTGGGCACAGTGGCCTGTAATTCCAGCACTTTGGGAGGCTGAGGCTGACAGATCACTTGAGGTCAGGAGTTCAAGACCAGCCTCAGCCTGGCCAATATGGTGAAACCCTGTCTCTACTAAAAATACAAAAATTAGCCAGACATAGTGGCCGGCACCTGTAATCTTGACTACTCGGGAGGCTGAGGCAGAATTACTTGACCCTGGGAGGCGGAGGTTACAGTGAGCCAAGATCGCACTACTGCACTTCAGCCTGGGCAACAAGAGCGAGACTCCGACTCGAAAATAAATGAATAAATAAATAAAGAAAAGGAAATAAACAATCGTTAAAGAAAATAAATATAGAGAAGAACATAAAAAGTGTAAGAACGCTGAAAGAAGATTTTTCTTAGAATAGCAGATAGGGAAAACTTAAATTATTTATTTTTTGCTACAGGCGTTGTTGATGAGCTTTTGATTTTGCACCCTACTTAATCCCTCTATTTTTATGGGAGGATTTCATGGAGAATTAAATGAATGTCCCTGCTGCTATTCTCTCAAAAGTCTGAGAGTACTTTTTAAACAGTAACAGGTGATACAAATATAAACTACTACAGGTTTATGTCTACCTCTGATTTTACTCATGTCTCAAAGAAAACAGAAATCATGTGTTGAATGTAGATGCTCAGACAATAAGAAAGAGAGTTTTAGGTATGAAGCACATATTTCTAGATAATTGGCAGAGACCTTGGACTTTTACAAAATTAAGATGGTTTTTATTACTTAATAGCCAACATTTCTCTTAAGAATGAGAAGACTTTAACACAATAATATTAGCATGTTACTATTTGTATTAGTTTTCTTTCTTGAAAACAAATTACCAAAAATGTAGCTGATTAAAACACAGCTTCACACACTTATGATCTCACAGTTTCTATGGGACAAGAGAGTCCAGGCACTGTTTAGTTGGCCTCTCTGCTAAAGGTCTCCCAAGGCTGAAATCAAGGTGCTGCAATCTTTCTGGAGCTCAGGGTCATATTCCAAGTTCATGAGGTTATTGGCAGAATTCATTTCCTTGCAGTTGTAAGACCAAGGTCATCATTTTCTAGATGGCTGTCAACCAGGGCCTGCTGTCAGCTTCTAGGGA